GCACTCAGCAGGGGCACAACAAGGGGAAGGAGAGAAGCCCAGCCCTGCCCCCCCTTGGCTCCTGACTGGACCAGGGTGGCATAAGGGTAGAGCCCCTTCTCAGCTGGCATAACGGCAGCTGGTCCAAATCTGAGTGAGTGGCTTTGCAGCCTGGTGCATGGGGACAGCGCACCATTCAGGTCTAAAAGTAAGGGTGTTTTTAGCCTACAATTTGACTTGCATTTTTATTTGAGTGGTTTGCTTGGTATCCCTGGAGAAATGTATTTGCAACACTAGGTGACCGTGTCCTTCTCACTGTCGTAATGGGGGGCAGGTCCAAATTAAAAAAATGCTAAGGTGGGTTATGATTCAGAGCAGGTTCAGGACTCTTGCAGTACGTGTTGTCAATGCTAATTCTCTTCTTACTCTGCACTCGCATAAAACCCTGCTGCTTTTATGTAGCTCCTAGTTACCAGGGGGTGAGGGGTAACCAGGATTTTGCTGCAGAATGGCAAGCAATCAGCCAGCATGGCTAATGGGGAGCAATCGTCCTTCAGGTGTCATTCACTTGGCTGTTAAAATGAAAACTTGTGGGGAATGCTTTGAGTTCTGGGGGGGTCTGTTTGGAAGCAGGTTTTCACTTTGTAGGAGACCACCTTATTTAATTTGTCCAACCACAGAGATGGTTGAACCTCATGGAGTTTGAGATCTCTCAAGAGAAAATGTTATACAGACTATATCCTGCTCTAGTGATGATCTGGGAGATGGTCTGTTCCCTTTCTTACGCCACACCCATCACTATGTTTTATAATTGCTTGTGATCATCTTTTTGCCATTTCCTCTGAAGGGAAACCTGTCCTTACACTAGTGCATCCTCACAGGCCACCTTGTTATGCAGATAACTTGCTAGGGATGAATGCGTAGGGCAGAGGCAGGGCAGCTCAGAGGATATTTGTTTGCAGCACAACTGGTGCATAGGACTTGCAAGCAGACTTCATTTTCCTCCCTCATACTGTCTGCAAAACCACTAAAGATGGGACTGTTCTGGGAGATGTGCAGCACAGTTAAAGCAGAGTGAAAGCGTTTTCACTGTGAGGAGTTTCCTGCTTATTTTGCGGCTAAAATCAATCAGAGGTAGGAGCAGAACCACATCAGGAGGAATAAGTATAACATGAGCTGTTATAAATATAAAGGGAAGGGTAACCACCTTTAAAATCCCTCCTGGCCAGAGGAAAAACCCTTTCACCTGTAAAGGGTTAAGAAGCTAGGATAACCTCGCTGGCACCTGACCAAAATGACCAATGAGGAGACAAGATACTTTCAAAGCTGAAGGGGGGGGGGGGGAAATAAGGGTGATGCTTTTGCCGGGGACAGAACAGGAATGAAGTCTTAGAACTTAGTAAGTAATCTAGCTAGATATGCGTTAGATTATGATTTGTTTAAATGACTGAGGAAATAAGCTGTGCTGAAAGGAATGGATATTCTGTCTTTGTGTCTTTTTGTAACTTAAGGTTTTGCCTAGAGGGTTTCTCTATGTTTTGAATCTAATTACCCTGTAAGGTATTTACCTTCCTGATTTTACAGAGGTGATTCTTTTTATTTCTATTAAAATCCTTCTTTTCAGAAACTGATTGCTTTTTCATTGTTCTTAAGATCCGAGGGTTTGGGTGTGTGGTCACCTATGCAAATTGGTGAGGATTTTTACCAAACCTTCCCCAGGAAGGGGGGTGCAAGGTTTTGGTGAGGATTTTGGGGGGAAAGACGTTTCCAAATGACACTTTCCCAATAATAAACCCGGTTAGACGTTTGGTGGTGGCAGCGAAAGTCCAAGGGCAAAAGGTAAAATAGTTTGTACCTTGGGGAAGTTTTAACCTAAGCTGGTAAAAGTAAGCTTAGGAGGTTTTCATGCAGGTCCCCACATCTGTACCCTAGAGTTCAGAGTGGGGAAGGAACCTTGACATGAGCTCACTGAGATTCTGGCTCTCCTAGGTTTCCTCTCACCTGCGGATGAAACCTGTGCCCCTCATGGCCAGTAAAATCTAGTGGGGAGGTCTTGGGTCCCTTGTTGGTGGAGAGTATTGGTGTGTTCCCGTTCCTTGGGAGCTGTATTGACAACTTCCCTTAAGCCTGTGGTTGTCTGATCTCCAATTGATGGTGTAAAGCTTTTCTCTTCACTCAGGCTGTGTGTGAGAGGTGAGCACAGGGACAAGGCTGGGGAGGGACAAGGGGTTGGAGATGGAGCAGAATCTGTGTATTGTTAATGAGATGTGGCTTTCCTCCTTTTTCAACATCTGCCACCACAAACTTCTTGGCTTAAACTCTGTTTATAAATAAAAACCTCCATGTGTGCTGGCTGTATTGTTCCTTCCTTCTTACCGATAGTTTATGTACCATATAAACTCTGGCAATTATTTGCTGCAGTGTAAAGGAGGCAATTGAGGATTACAAACAGTGGCAGAAGTGTCTGTACGTGTGGTTGTAGCAGCAGATGCTGGACTTCACCTCTGCTAAAATTGGCCATGTTTAACGGGGGCTTGGGAATTTGGGTGTGGGGGTGGGTTTGGGAGTCATGCATATCGGGAGTGTTTCACTAGCCTAACATAGTGTATCAAGAGTCTGAGCCAGGGTTGCTATTCATGGAATCATAGGACTGGAAGGGACCTTGAGAGGTCGTCTAGTCCAGTCCCCTGCACTCACGGCAGGACTAAGTATTATCTAGACTATCTCTGACAGGTGTTTGTCTAACCTGCTCTTAAAAATCTCCAACGATGGAGATTTCACAACCTCCCTGGGCAATTTATTCCAGTGCTTAACCACCCTGACATTTAGGAAGTTTTTCCTCAGTAGCATAGGTTACAGGGCCCCAGTGTGCTAGGCGTTGTACAGACACATAACAGGCAGCACCTGCGCTGAAGACCCTATAGAGAAGACCGAGAACGGGCAGGGGAAAGAGAGTATTTATCTTCATTCTACAGAAGGGGAATTGCAGCTCAGAGGGTGAGGTGACTAGCCCAAGGTCACACAGGCAGAGTGTGGCAGAGTGGGCAATGAGCCAGCGTCTCAGCTCACACGCTAACCCCTGCCTCCTCAGGAGGACTGGAGGTTCATTTCAGGTACTCACCCACATGTCTCTCCACCTGTTTTGTTTGGAAATCACATGACCTCTACAGCCCATTGTAACCCAAGGTAGCACTGGCATGGCTATCCTCAGGCTGTGTTCCCCAGCCCAGCTGGGATAAGAGGGTTCATGTGGGGAAAGGAGTGTTGAGATCTGTGTAGCCCCCTTCCCTGAGGTGTGGCTTAAGCCTCCTCCCTTTTCTCTCCCAGCTACTTGGGATCCCCAGTACTTGGAGTGGCTTCTCCCCACTCCTCGTGCAGGTTGGGACCTGTTTAGCTTTGTTGTTCTTGGCGCCTAGTGTCTTTGCTCAAGGTGACTCCTCACTCTGCTGCATACCTGGGGGTGATGTCCCTTGAGAAAGCCAGGGTAATACTCCAAGCTGGCCTGGAGGGCAAAGCCCCAGTGCACAGTGGAGAAAAAGTAAATGCAACAAACGGCAGCAAAGGAATGCTGTACCAAATCGAACAGCAAAACAGAGGGTGGGGGCTTTACTGGGAACAGAAAACTAGGATCTGGGGAAGGAAAGGATTAATAATTACTAAACATTTTATAAATAACCCAATTCTCCACCTCCTAACACTCTCTAGCTCCTCCAGCCCCCTCCCTGGCACCTCCCCGAGGTGGATGGCATGGCTGAGCTTGTGTGGCCTGAGCTGGAGAGTTGGAGTGCCGGGGCATTGGCTGGCTTAAACAAAAGTCACCTTTACTTTATCTTCACCCCCAAGCGGGGCAGGGATCTCTCCTGACACCAGCTGGGCTTGCTGGTTTCCCTGGTCTGCAATCCTGGGCTCTCGGCTGGCCCTCGATAGCTGGTGGCAGGTTGGATCTCTCCCTCACTGCTGGTCACTGCCAGAGAAGATGTGTGGGGGCCACCTGGGGTCACATGCCCGCCCAGATTTCTGCCAGGGTGGGAGTTGGGCTGAACATGCTGGAGGGGGATGTGCCTGGGAAAGGCACCAACACCTAGCGCTCCCACTGAACCCCTACTAGAAGGCCTCCAGAGTTGGGATGAGAGATGGGGCTGGCAGTGCAGCTCTGCCAGAGAGGGTGCAAGGAAGCCCGCTGAGTCTCGTCCCTTCCTCACCCGCAGCCAGTTACCTGCTCGGCAGTAGCTGGCTGGAGCCTGCTCTGGCCCGCGCTGCGCTCACAGTAGGAGGCGATGGGAGAAGTAAGTGAGGAAGGAGCTGTGTGAGGAGTGGGGGGGAGGTGGTGCTGGGTGTGGGAGGCGCAGGGGAAGTGGGAAAGGGGCCAGAGGAGACGCGTGGGGCAGTCACCGTGCGCCTCCCAAACCTTTAAATTGTGCCTCCCCCACCAAGAGTTACTGCTCGTCTCCGGTCGCTGGAGCCAGTGGATCCGGGCAACTAGATTTCAGAGCAGCGCCAACTCCTTTGGGGGCAGTGGGAATGTGGCAGGGATGCCCTGAGCTGCTCTCTTTCTCTCTCCCAGCTTCCCAACTTAAACTCGCTTTCTCCGACCTCCCAGCAGCCCCATGTTTTGCAGGACTAGCCTGTTTTGAACCACACAATCCCCTGTCCCAGTTCACGTAGCTCCTCTTCCCACGGGGCTGGCTGGGCTTGGCTCCCTGCTCTGCGTGTTGTAACCCAGCTCCCGGTGCACCAGGTCGCAGCACTGCTCAGGTTTGGTCTGACAGAGGGTCGCAAGGCCAAATGTCAGTGAGTGGCACTGTGACACGACACTCCCTCAGATGTGGGCCTGTGAACCCTGCCATCAGGGGGCGCTGGGCCAAACCTGAGCGGTGCTGCCACCCCGAGCACCGGGGTTGCAATGGCAAGCCCAGCCAGACCTGCAGGACAGCTTCTGCTTCAGCTTCTGCTCAGGGTTGAGTGCAGGGTGAGCTTGCTCTACAACTACCCCGGGACTTCCAATCCCCCAGGGGCAGCACCTGGGCTCCCCACCCATCCCGCTTTAGCCTCCTGCGGAGTTAGGAGGGACACCTTCTTTGTCAGGTTGGCCCTTCCTCTGTTAACTTGCTGAGGGCTGTGAAGCCCTGGGTTGTCATTGTCCAGTGGACTGCTTGTCCAAATCACCCCCTGCATAAAAGCTCACTGATCCCAGCAGCAGCTTCTAGTTTTGTCTGTTTCAACCCTGACTCCACATATGCTGGGAGTGAGGTCCGTGGGCTTTGACAGCTATCTTCTAAAGGCTCAGTCCAGAGCTCCAGGAGCTGGCAAACTCCATAAGGGGAGGGAGGCAGGTTACACCTGAAACAAATCAATGGCTATCAAAGATGTGACATTTATTGTTAAGTTGCACAGTGTGGCCCTGCTCAATGTCACAGCAGCAGCAGGGGATAGAACTTCTCTCAAGAAGCACAGGACCCCCCCCCCCCCGCATACCCCCACACTTTAGAAAAGGGAAGATCACTATTAGCAGTATATAGGACCCATTGCACAGAACAGAGTATTGAGTAGAGGGGAGCAATACATGCGTATACAGGCACGCATGCACACAGGAAGAATCTTGTGGGACTCCCTCTGAGAAGGGGAGATGGGCCAAAAGGAGAGGAACTGCCAAAGACTGCTGAGAAAGCTGCGAGACTGACAAGGGGAAACTATGGGAGGAAGGTGCTAGGAAAGCCAATGGGAGGGCAGGATGTGGAGGAGAAGGAGCGAGATCACCAGTGTTGAAGGCAGGAGGAAGTCAAGGATTATTGTTAGGTGCTATACAAACAACATGGTGAAAAGCGATGGGAAATTGTTGCTTTGCAGAGTTTGCATCTCCACTGCTGTCATTTTTATTAAGGAGAGGTAGATTCTCAAATGACAGTGCTATTCCCTTTTGGTTTCTGATTGAATCTGTTGCCCATGAAAGCTTACTAGAGTGACATCTTTGGAGCTTGAAGGCCTCTATGAATCCACTATAACATAGAAAACAGCAGTTCAAGCTTTCTCCGTGCTGTCCTGATGTCATGCTTCAGCTCCAACATGAAGAGGCCCTGTTCAAGGGGTGAGAAAAGGTAGGTTAGTCCTTGTGGCCAATTCTCTGAGGATCCTTGTCAGCAGTCTCCAGCTGTGATCATGGATTTTGTGATACGGGCACTTATCCACCAGGACCTGGGCTGTGATCTCCAACTCTGATCTCCATGCCGTTCAAAAATTATCACAGACATTCAAATTCAGTGTCGGCTAAATTATAGTACGTGCATGTGTGTGTGCTTGTGCTTTTAGCCATTAATCACATCGATATAAAACAGTCTTGGGTTTTAAAACCATCATTAAGCAAAGCCAGGTTTGCATGGGGCTGGACATCATGCAATACTATGGAAGATCTGGTGCTTGTACACTCTTTTCCACTATCATCAGTGCTTGCTGGAGTTCTGCTGTTGCCTCAGTATTCAAGGTATCCAGGATATCATTAAGGGGCTTAGCAACGTGGGGAATAGATGTGGACATTGGTTGAAAGTTGTCTCTCAAAGTATACAGATGATCAGTAGTTGGTTGTCTAGTGTCGAGACCCAGTCCAAAAGGATCATCTGTGTCCACCTGAGAGTGGGAGTCTAGCTCAAACTGCTGTAACAACTCAGAGTTCCAAATTCCATGAGTATCATCAATATCTAAAAGGTCATCTTCCATCAGGAGAAGGGAGCTGGATTTTAATAACAGCTGAGGGTCATTTCTCCGCAATGGACTTGTATAATTCTGAGGAATTTAAATTGGAGGAAGGTTGATCCTTCACTTGCGAATTTTGCATGTCTGAATCAGCTGGGCATTGGATATCTGTGCCACTGATGCCAGGAAAGTTTTTGCTTGTGCTTTTTAAATTACTGGCCCCTGCAGACAACAAAAGTGTACTGGACTCTAAAAGATCTCTGTCTTCTAAAGGAAGGTCAATTTCTTTGTGTGACGCTCCTAAATGACTTAGTGTGGAAAAGGTTCCAGTCTTGATCTTTGAATCTTGATCATCCAAACCAGCCAGGGTTTCCATTTTATGTAGACATGTGTCATAATGCTTTCCTTCACTGGTCAGACTCACACTCGTGTCTGTTGCAGCTGTCGGTCCCATAGGAGGCTGTCTGCCTTCTGTGGTTGCTGGAGATTCTTCCTGAGAGTCCCTTGATGGAATCAAAGATGAGCAATTGGCATCACCCTGTTGTGCAGTTTGCACATTTAAATCAGGTTGGTCATGAAATTCAAGACTAGGTGCCTCATGTAAATGTCGAGCATTGCTCAAACTGTCTGCACCAGGAGTCAACAAAAGCACATTGGACCCGAAGACTTCAGTGCTGTCTAAATGTGGAAAACGTTCACTTCGTCCATCTCCCAAGTGGTACCCAGAAGTCTGCGGTGAATCTTGTGGGGTTGCCTCTGCTCTTCCGATCTGAGTAACAGCATCTGATGCTGTCATTTTCTTGTTGGCCTGTTGCTCTGCCTGGCTTGAGGAGCTTCCAGTCTGGGAAGGTTCCTGCTGATCTCCATTGTTTGTTTGCTCTGAAAGTTTTGATGAAGGTTTTGTAAGACTTTCCTTTGGATTCCTGTCTTTATTTGAGGAATAGCCAAATAATGTCACCAAGGCAGATTGGGGCTTCGTGGGTTTCTTTTTCCCTGCAAGGTCTTTCTTTGAGGTGCTGCCTTTATTTTCGGAAGCAAAAAGCCTAGCAAAGGGATTTTTCCCAAGACTGGAAGCTTTTGCGAGTGTATCTTTCCTGGCATGATCATTTCTAGTCCCTTTGCCTTGAGGAACACTAGCAGTTCCATGTGACTCACTTTCATGTTGGGGTTTCACATCCACATTCCCATTTCCTGCTAGGTGAGTTTCAGGTTTGTCTGCTAATTCATTAGATCTGAAAGCTTCTAACTTTCTGCCCAGTGGTTCAGAAATATGAAGGCTGCTCTGTCCCAAAGTGTCATCTTGACCCATTGACTTGAGTTTAGTATCTTCTGAGCTGCTGGGCTTATCATGTGAGATCCCAGTAGTGCTGGCTGTATTCAAATGTGTCTCCATTGATCCTGAAATGTCCCTAGTAGATAGTTTAACATTATCTATCAAAATATCCCCTTGTGGGATATTTACTAGGGGATCATACATGTTTTGAGATTCTATTTCTGGTAAGTAGGACCCAGTTTGATCATCTGTTCTCCCTGCCTGTCCAGCTGAAGAGATGGCTCTTCCTTCTGACTTGCTTTCCTGAGAGAGATGTCCAGAAGTATGCTCCACAAATTCATAACAGTCTTTGCTCTCTGGCTGCATTATTTTCACTTTCTCAACCTCTGCCCCATTGCTTTTGAGGTCTTTTCCACATCCCTGCACATTTGCCTCATAAGTTAGTGGCATTAGGTTTCCAGAGAACTCTTGGCTGTCTGTCTTTGAATTCTCATTCACCTGCTCAGCTGTCTGGAGTAATGGCACCAAAACTCCCAGCTCTGGTGAGCCAGCCACTGTGTAAGATGTCATTGACGCACTGGGGAGGCAAGTTGTTTCATTGCCTTTGAGAGCATCATGTTCAGCTGGATGCATCTGAGCTTCAGGCTTATGCAGAGAAGAAATGTAACCCCCCGCTCCACATTCTGGTACCATGTTTGGAATGCTGTGCATCTCAGCTTCTCCTAGGTCGTGAGAGGCCAATGGGCCACGCCCAGGATCCTGAGGATGCTGCTGGTCCTGTGTATTTGAACTCATGGATAGAGTCAGTTCAGGCAAATTAACTGTAATTTTGGGAACAGATCCAGCTCTCTCTGTGCTAAGGTTTATGTTTCCTTCCTTAAACAGGGCTTCGGTGGAGGGAGTTACACTAAGCTTGTTATCCTTGGGCAGGAGTTTTGCAGTACGGAGAGCACCAGCCTGAACAGCTGTTGTAGATGTCCAATTAGTAGCTCTTAGTGCTTTTGAATGGGAGACGAAGGAACCATGGGCAGGAGGTTTCACAGGCACCAATGCTAATGGTGAGATGGCAGGAAGACTCTTACTCTCCAGTCTGGATTTACTCTGCTGGAACCCAGCAACTTTCTCAGATACTCCAATCCTTTGCTTTCCTTTCAGCGCTGTCGTCACCTTTCCCTCCATGAACCCCAGTTTCTTTTTACCATCTCTGAGCTCTCCTTTCCCACCCGCTGCTTTAACCCAGGGAAAACCTTGCCCTTCCTCCTTTAGAAAGGTGACCCCAGGTAACAGGCTCGGTTTCTTTTTCACAGCCGTTTCTGCTATTGATTTTCCATCATGCGTCCTGAGCATAACCCCATCGGCTCTGCTGCCTGTGGCCTGACAGGTTTCTAAGCTCAATGCAGTGTCTCGCCCCTCGCCCTTTCCAGGTTTGTCCGGGTTCCTGGCTGCCTCTGCAGAGCTTTTCTTCAAAGGCGGCCAGCTAGTTCTGAGCTGGTTTCTCGAGACAAACTCACTGCTCAGTTGCCTACTTCCATCAGGTGGCGCCAAGCTGCGACGTGGATGTGAATTAAAGGATCTGGGTTGCAGTTTCTCTCTCTGCACAATTTTTTTTTCTGTCCTGTTATATCTATTCCTAGGCTCTGATCCTTGGCCTGGTGTTAGCATTGCGTGTAGCTGCTGGTCTTGTTTGCATTCAATCTTTTCTTCCTCGCTTCCTCCCCTGGCTTTGGCAAGCTGCTTATAATGGACTTTGCAGTAAAATACCCCATGGAGGGCAGTGGAGTTATGCAAGCTGTAAAACACACATCAGGACAACAGTTGAGTACTATGTGTGAGGGAAAGAATTATCATTATCATTAGTGCTAGTTGAAAAGTTTGCATCAAAATACTTTTATGATGGACATTTTTGGTTTTTGATTAAATGAAAATTTTCACTAGAAGTTTCTGGTTTCTATGGATTTTTGTGGGGGTAGTGGGGTCAAAAAACCAAACGCCTGCAAACCGAAATATTTCTATTTGGCTGTCTTGCTGCAGTGCACCATGGGAGTCGTAGTTCCATTTCCTCATGTCCCCATTCTCCTCTGTGAGTCAGGCTCTCCAGACAGACTTCATCTCCCTTGATGCATCATGAGAGGGGACTCCCATGACACAAATGTCTCACCTCTCCATGAGGGGAGACCAAGGTGTATCATGAGAGATTGTAGTCTGACCAGGAAGCCCAGCTACAAAGGAGAATGGGAGCAAGAGGCATCCAAACAACAACTCCCATGAGATGCCACAGCAGCATTTTCAAATTGAAATATTTCTCTTTTCAATTTTTCACCAGAAAGCCAAATTTTTCTATGGAAAATTCTGAGGAAAACACATGATTTTTATTCTTGTCGAATTTTCCACAGAAAAAAGCCCATTTTCCAACTAACTCTGATTCTTAATATCTATGAATCTATTCGCAAAAAGAAAAGGAGGACTTGTGGCACCTTAGAGACTAACCAATTTATTTGAGCGTAAGCTTTCGTGAGCTATGGCTCACTTCATCGGATGCATTGGATGAAGTGAGCCGTAGCTCACGAAAGCTTATGCTCAAATAAATTGGTTAGTCTCTAAGGTGCCACAAGTACACCTTTTCTTTTTGCGAATACAGACTAACACGGCTGTTACTCTGAAACCTACGAATCTATTGTCACTGTGTATGTGTTAAACACTAACCATGTCAACAAGGTTCTCAAACTGGTGTCTCCAGCTCTCTTGGATGGCTGTGAGATTTCCCAGGTGGCCCTCAGATCCCCATCTTGAGGTTCAAACTGGTTTGTGATCTCCCTCCCCTCTGTATACTGCTAGATCAATCCTACTGTGGCTAGGGTTGCCAGGTATCTGATTTTCGAAAGGGACCTGTGCAGTGTCCAGTCAGATGTACTGACTGGACACCAAAAGTCCAGTTACCATGGGAGAGGGGGGAGGGAGGCGCTGGGTCATCAACTCGTGCCAGCCCCTGCTCAGCCAGGGGTGCCTCTCATGGGCAGACAGGCTCCGCATCAAGGGCTGCAGTTCCTGTCCCAGCTCTGGAGCAGAGGGAGTCAGCTTGCGGCGGCAGGGAGCAGGTGTAGAGGATTGAGCAACAAGGAATGAGGAGGGGGGGAGAGCAGCTAGTGATGGCGGGGGGGAGAAGAATGAGCAGGGGGGCAGAGCCTGGGGAAGAGACGGGGCAGGGGGCAGGGCCACAGATGATGAGGCAGAGTATGGGCGGTGGGAGGGTCCTACTCTCCTGCTGTAGTGTCCGGTTTTCAGACATTAGAAAGTTGGCAACCCTAACCTGTGATTGACACTTGCCCCGAGAGCTTAATGATACACATCAAGAGTGATGTGTGTATATTTACCTTTGAATGACCCTGTTGCATCAAATAGCAGGTGTCATTTCAAAACGTGCCTGGGAGAGGATACCGCCTACCAAGTGTTCATTCTTCCTATCGCAACTTTTTATTATGGGAGTTAAGGCTGGGGAATCTCAGAGCCAACTCCACAGTGGCTCTTCAGGTTCCTTGAAAACAAGTCCAGATGGAGGGACTAAAATAGTGGCCTTCGAAATATCATGGCACCCTGACAACACTGGTTCAAATCCCAATTGGTTTAGCTAAGTCCTTCACCCTTCTGATGAGGGCGTCCATTTTGAAGGCCTCTTGCACACAGTAAGCTGGATGGAGTTTACCGAGGGATGTGGTGCATTCTCCCTCATTTGAAATCTTTAAATTAAGATGGGGTGTCTTTCTAAAATACATGTTCTAGCTCAACCACAGGATATGGGCTTGATGCAGGAATCACTGGGTGAAATTCAGTGGGCTGTGGAGGAGGTCAGACTAGATTATCAGAATGGCCCCTGCTGGCATTAATATCTACGAATCTAGGTCAATAAACTGAGTGGCAAGCAATGTACTGTTTTCAGAGTAGCAGCCATGTTAGTCTGTATCTGCAAAAAGAAAAGGAGGACTTGTGGCACCTTAGAGACTAACAAATTTATTTGAGCATAAGCTTTCGTGAGCTACAGCTCACTTCATCTGATGATGCCACAGGCATCTAAGGTGCCACAAGCAATGTACTGTGTGTGAAAGATATTGAAAGCTGATGCTCTGTCACCTCTTAAAGATCTCAGGACATTTTTGCAAGGTTTCACCTTGTTGTCCTTTCCCCTTTTTGCCATTGTTGTGCAATACACTGTGTGCTGGTTGGTTGCCAGTCTCCACTCCAGAGGTGGCTGCATGTCAAAAGTAAAATAATTCCTTTATTCTGAGTATTATTATAACAGTGAAGAGGGTCCTCCTGTGGTAAAGCCAGCTGCAGGAGTGCGAGGGCCCAGGAAATGCCATGGTTCGCCCTTCAGTTTCCTCCTAATACTCCCATCAGGGATGAGGAGTTTGGGGAGCCTTAAAGAAGGCAGGGGGAATGTTTGCAGGGCCTAGGATCCACTGGGAACGCTGCTTCAAGCCCCATAGTTCCCACAGCCTCAGCAGGGAATAGGTGCCTCTCTGTGCTGACCTGTTGGCACGTCTCTTCTCCCTGGTAGCATGACTGCTGGGGGGGCCACGCTATCATTGCCCGCCTCGCCCCATGGCAGCTGTGGGAGTCATGCTGTCACTGGCTGCCTCGCCCCATGGCAGCTGTGGGAGTCACGCTGTCACTGGCTGCCTCGCCCCAGGGCGGCTGCAGGGAGTGCTCACTATCACTGATTGCCTCGCCCCATGGCTGTGCTGTACTCAGGAGACCCGGTACGAGTCCGTGCTGCTTGAAATGTCATTAATTCTTACAGAGATGTCTGCTGAGGTGCAGCCTGAAGTCTGCGGGGAGCATGCCTGGGGGCTGCAGCTGCTTTCTGCTTGTAGCCCCAACTGCCTTCAGCAGGATTCCTGATCCACAGAACCCTAGCACCATGGGTTTGAGAAGGGCAGTCTTCAAGCTCCAGGGAAGGGGAGAGAGATTATATCACAGAAACACTGCTCCCCTTTCTGTGACCACTGCAGAGCTCTTCCCTACCAGAGTTACTGAAAGGGACTGCTGGGCCCATGCTTTGTAAACCACTTTGAGATCCCTCAGGAGTAAATGGCACCTACTCCCACTACTTACCTTAGCTTCCTCTTGCAGAGCATGCAGCAGAAGCATGAGTGATGTAGAAGGACCTTGTTGGCTGCCACACACTCCATAGAAGAGACAGGCTGGAGGCATGAGGAACATACCTCCTTCATCATGGACTGAAATGACAAACCCAAAGTTAAATAGCTCTGTGACCCCAACTCCTGCAATTAAACATGCAACATCATTTTGCTGATTTGGCTTCTCTTGTTGAACTTTCTCATCATATTACAAATGATGTTAATTTTTTCTTAAGCTCTCAAATTCCTGGTTGGTCTATTCTATTCATTCTCTCAAGTATCTGGTATTGGCCACTGTTGGATGATGGATCATTGGTCTGGCACAGTATGGCCATTCTTATGTTCTTAGATGTACTTTTAAGCTACAGATCTATTTTTTCTACACTGAACACAGTGACATCTAGACACCCGCAAAGGTGCTCCCTTAAGTTATGCTGAACCCTCATATATCAGAAGGGTGTGTGCGTTCTTGCAGAGAAGAGGGGTATCTATTAATTTGTTTTCCCATATAAACCAAAATGCTTTCTCTTAATTATGACTTAGGAAGGAGGCAATGCCACTTAGCGAGCAAACTTACATATGATCTGACTTTTGCTGGAAATGTATGTACATAATTCTGCAGAATGACATGGATAGTGGGGCACATCGTATGTGTATAAAGTGGGGTGAATGTTTTGGGGGGGGCAGGGATATCTTTCCCCAGGGGACTTAATTTAAGGGCCTGCCACCTGGTGCATTTCAAAGGACAAACAATTGTTCATCAGAAGTATTTTCATGAGCATAAGGGCTAAGTCATCCCTAGAGTCTGGAGGTAAAGGGGTGAATAATTTTAATCAAAGGCTACTGGAGGCAGGGAAGTCCTCTCACGCCCTGGAGAGCAATTGTTCCAAGGGTTCTCTGGCAGCCTTTTCCCTAAAGTCTGGTCTAAACTACAGACCTATATTGGTATAACTACATTGCTCAGGGATGTGAAAAATCCACACCCCAAACAACACAGTTATACTGACCTAGCTCCCCATGTAGACAGCACTATGTCTCCCATTGACATAGCTACCACATCTTGGGTAGTGGATTAACTACACCAATGGGAGTGCTCTCTGTCGGCATAGTGTCTTCATTAAAGTGCTACAGTGGCGCAGCTGCATGGTGCAGCTGTGCTGATGCAGCGTTTTAAATGTAGAGGTGCCCTGAGACTTTGCTTCTGGCCTAAGAGCTGATATTTCAAAGTGCTCTAAAATCCACACAGACTCCAGTTTTACTTTAGAAGAATTGTCAAGGAAAATAGCATTAATTAAATAGAGGGAAGATGAAAGACACTAAGTGATAAGGGTAATGTGGTAAGGGTAATGTAATCACGACTCATGCTCCTGACCCATTTCTTGAACAATGGGACTGAGTGTCATCAAAGAAAAGCAAGTAGCAGAGACGGTCCATGGCTGTATAATCAAAGGGATTGCTGGACATTAGGAAAGGTGCCCATACTAGAGAGCCCTTGTCATAAATACAAAGGGAAGGATAATCACCTTTCTGTATACAGTGCTATAAAATCCCTCCGGGCCAGAGGCATCATCCTGTTACCTGTAAAGGGCTTTTAAGCTCAGCTAACCTGGCTGAGACCTGACCCAAAGGAGCAATAAGGAGACAAGGTACTTTCAAATCTTGGTGGGGGAGAGGAAGGCTTTTGTTTGTGCTCTTTGTTTATGTGGTGGCTCTCTCTTAGCACTGAGAGAGGCCAAACAGAGATCCATCTTCTCCAACCCATCCTAATCCAAGTCTCCAATATTGCAACCAGCATAGGTAAGCCAGGCAAGGCGGATTAGTTTATCTTTTGTTTTATGTGAATTTTCCCTGTGTTAAAAGGGAGGTTTATTCCTGTTTTCTGTAACTTTAAGGTTTTGCCCAGAGGGGGATCCTCTGTGTTTTGAATCTGAATACCCTGTAAAGTATTTTCCATCCTGATTTTACAGAGATGATTTTTACCTTTTCTTTTTTGTTAATAAAATCCTTCTTTTAAGAACCTGACTGATTTTTCCATTGTACCAAGATCCAGGGGTTTGGGTCTTTGATGATTTTGTAACCAATTGGTTAGGATATTATTCTCAAGCCTCCCCAGGAAAGGGGGTGTGTAGGGCTTGGGAGGGTATTTTGGGGGAAGATGTCTCCAAGTGGTCTCTTTTCCTGTTCTTTGTTTAAAACGTTTGGTGGTGGCAGCATACAGTTCAAGGACAAGGCAAAGTTTGCACCTTGGGGAAGTTTTTAACCTAAGCTGGTAAGAATAAGCTTAGGGGGTCTTTCATGCGGGTCCCCACATCTGTACCCTAGAGTTCAGAGTGGGGAAGGAACCCTGACAGCCTTCTAAGGCTTGGTCTACTCTTAAAATTTAGGTTGATATAGCTGAGATGCTCATGGATGTGAAAAATGTAGACTCTTGAGCACTTTAGCTATGTTGACCTAACCCCCAGTGTAGACACAGATAGGTCAATGGAAGAATGCTTCTGTCAACCTAGCTACCATTGCTCGGCAAGGTGGAGTTCCTACAGTGATGGAAAAGCCCTTGCTGTTGGTATAGTTTGAGCCTACACTACGGGGTTACAGCGGTATAGCTACAGTGCTATCGCTAGGCTGCTGTGTCTGTAGCATAGACATGGCCTTAGAACTGGCCTATGGTCAACATTGACTAACAGGATACCAGGATATTGTCCTCAGTCAACACAGTAACTTACGTTTATCCTGAAAAATGAACACAGAAAACAAATGTCAACTTTCGACAATAATTCATCCAATCTACATGAGCCAAGGGATCTCGCCTATCAGTGTCACTCCTCAAAGTGCTGTGTCTTTGTGGAAAAAGGGGTCTGAAGGAAATGTCAGAGGCTGGCATGTATCATAACTTTGTATTTCCTGGTTTTCAGAGGTTTAAGTTGAGCCACTTTCCACATTCTGAAAGGGCACAAGGCAGTCCTGGGCAAACTTTATTCTGCGCTATCAAAGTGTTTGGGCAGTTAGTTCAAGTCTACAGTCTGCCGTTAGTATTTCTTGTCACCAGGTGCTCTGAGCAGGAAAGCAATTGCCCAAAGCTTTTATGGTCTTCGGCACTGCAGGTGCCTTGGCCTTTTGGCTAAGCTCAAGCGTGGTATAACTTTACTATTTGATACCTCCTTTATTGGAGGATTAGATCCATTCTTTGTAGGGCACAGAGTCAATGAGTAGTAAGTTGTTTCCATCTCCAGCTACTATGATTCTGTGATTATCCATCCAGTATTTCTACTAGTTACTGGCCTCCCCAGTTAATCACAAATGCCCCTGGGTATGAATATGTGAGAAACAGAACCATCGCTTAGGCCCTCCCAATCCTGAATGCCCGTGGACTTGTTTGCAGTGTGAAAGACTCCTCATGTTCAACTCTTTCCCTTGGGCTGAAGCAAATATATTTAGTTGGGCTAGAGGTGAAGGTCTGGGGGTGGGATAATGGAGTTGGGAAGTAATTTTAATAATTTGGGAGGTATGCAGAATGTTTCTTTAATTGAGCTTGTCTAGAGGCTTCTGATTGGGGCCATGTCCATTCTTCGTGACATGTGAAAGCTGCCTGGCTTCCTTAAGGGCTGAGTAATGAAGAACAAAGTAGAAAGACCTGAGTTTGGGGGCCAGAGCCTGATTCAAAGCCCCCTTCCTTTCCCCAAGCCTATTTCACTGATGACAAACTCCAGCCAACTCAAGTTGAGGTGGTGATGCAACTTGGTAACCATTGGGAGGTTCAAATTTCAGGCAAAAGCTCCACCTCTGCTATACATTTTTGTTTCCTAATGTGACAGGAGTATCCTAACAATGGTTGATGGGACATGCACTCTACATGTTGCTACAGACATTGTAGGCCTAACTAGCTGAATAAAGGGTGGCACTTCAGTCCGTTCCTCTCTCCTTTTGTTGTTTCATTGCTGTGATATTATTTAAAGGGACAGAGCCATGATTGGAAATTTTGGGTCTGCATAATAAGTGTGATACATACCCTCTGCTGCCCCAGTCAATCCACCCATCTGCTTTCATAGAATCATAGAAATGGAGGGCTGGAACCTCGGGAGGTCCTCTAGTCCAGTCCCCTGTGCTGAGGCAGGACCTAATAAACCTAGTCTATATGTGACAGGTGTTTGTCCAACCTATTCTTAAAAACCTCCAATGATGGGGGTTCCACACCCTCCTTTCGGAAACTTATTCCAGAGCTTAACTACCCTTATAGTCAGAACATGTTCCCCATAATAGCCAACCTAAATCTCTCTTGCAGCAGATTAAGCTGATTACTTCTTGCCCTACTTTCAGTGGAGCACAACTGATCACCATCCTCTTTATAACACCCCTTAACATACCTGAAGACTGTGATCAGATTCCCCTCTGTCTTCTTTCTCAAGACTAAACATGTCCAGTTTTCTTTAACCTTTCCTTATAGGTCAGGTTTTCTAAACCTTTCATCGTTTTTGTTGCTGTCTTCTGGACTGTCTCCTATCTGATCACATCTTTCTTAAACGTGTGATGCCCAAAACTGAATACAATTCTCCAGCTGAGGCCTCCTTGCCTGTGGAGAGTGGGACAATTACCTCCCGTGTCTTACATATGACACTCCTGTTAATATACCTCAGAGTGTTGTTAGTCTTTTTTGTAATTGTATCACATTGTTGGCTCATATTCAATTTGTGATCCACTATAACCCCCACACCTTTTTCACAGTACTACTGCCAAGATGGTTTTGTATTTGTGCATTTTATTTTTCTTTTCTAAGTGTAGTAATTTGCACTTGTCTTTTTCAAATTTCCTCTCGCAAGTATGCGTTTACAATGATCCCCGTTCTTTGCAGAGAGACGCAGCAGGGCAAATATTCTGAACCATAGGCACCGACTCCTTGGGTGCTCCGGGGCTGGAGCACCCACAGGGGAAAAATTAGTAGGTGCTCTGCACCCACTGGCAGCCAAGCTCCTCTCCCCGCCCCACCTCATCTCACCTCTGCCTCCTCCCCTGAGTGTGCCGTGTCCCCGCTCCTCCGCATACCTCCCAGTGCTTGCCGCCACAAAACAGCTGTTTTGTGGTGTAACAAGCTCCGGGAGGGAGGGGGGAGGAGTGGGAATGCGGCACACTCAGGGGAGGAGGTAGGGGTGGGAATTTGGGGAAGGAGTCTAATGGGGCAGGGAGGGGGCGGAGTTGGGGTGGGGACTTTGGGGAAGGGGTTGGAATGGGAGCGGGGCAGGGACAGGAGGGGCAGGGCAGGAGTGGAGTCAGGGCGGGGCTGGGGGCAGAGGCAGGTCGATCACCCACCGGCACCTGCAGAAGTCGGTGCCTATGTTCTGAACAATATAATGTATTGTCTCCAAAGACCCCCCGAAAGCAGTATACAAACTTGCTTGGAATTTGAGAGGAAAAACCCTCTACTGGTTTGTTGTAGGGTCTCAAATGGTGGTGAGGCAGTGAGAATGTGTTGATTTTTCAACTTGTATTTGTGTTGCAGGTGTTTGCATTTGTTTTACTTTGGCTCTTTTCACACTTCAAGAGGCCACATACAGAGCTGAAATAATGCAACATCTATCTTATCATGATATTTCCTTTCCTGGGTGATGGAAATAGCGTGAAAGGAAGACCTCTCAAATTACTTCAGCCATAAATGGCTCACTGAGGCACTGGAAAAGCCCATAAAAAACAGCAACGCAAACAATAAGATTATTATTTATTAAGTGCTGGCAGGCAAGATATTTGGGTTTATCTGAGTTCCTGTGGAACCAGAATACACAGCCCATGCAAGCAATATGCAGTTTGCTAAAGCAGCTTTGCAGCTGTCTTTAAAATTAAATAAAATAAAGCAGATGCATAGGGAACTTGAAACAAATTAATATTGGTGTCAAGGAGGAATAAGTAAAGCAGTGTGGAAACATTTTCTACAGCAACTCCAAAAAATCAAAATAAACCCCCTTAGTCCTGTTTACAGAATTGATCCTGAACAAAACAATGCTGGAGGAGCTAAAATGCTTGGATATCTTTTTATCCCCCAAGATCAGGTACACTCAATGGATGGTGTCTTGCCTGGACCCTAGGTGCTTTTGCCCATTTCTTTATTGTTTTGTGCATCTCTGTTCTTCTGGGTTCTGGCCAGAATTGAAACTTCCCTATTGCCTCTTGTCTTTCTGACTTTGCCTCCTGGATGTTTCACCATCAACTTCAATTTAACATGGCCCAAAGCCAAATCCCTTATCTTCCCACTGTTAAAAAGAAAAGGAGTACTTGTGGCACCTTAGAGACTAACAAATTTATTTGAGCATAAGCTTTCGTGAGCTACAGCTCACTTCATTGGATGCATTCAGTTAAAAATCACTCTTGGGTGTGTGTGTGTTCTTTCTAAGGGGTCGAGCTGTTTCTTCTTGACTTATACTTGTTTTTCCATTTCAAAGGGTCCTCCTATGCTCCAAGAAAGGCTCATCAGGGCTCTGGCTGGAGCCTATCAGGGCTACTACATATGTCATCTGGAAGAGTCATCCTAGAGTTATATGCGAGGTGCTCCTTCCTTCCAGAGCTTTGCCATCTCAGACCCTGCTCTGTGAGGAGTGAACTCAGATCCCCACCACGTGACCATATCAGCTCACTGGATGAGCTCCTGTGTTCCTTCTTAATGTATCTTCCACGAGTTTCCATTCTGCATCTGATCGTTTGGTCCACCCAATGTGACATCCTACCTTCTGCAGGGACCAATGCCATATGTTTCAAAGGAAGGAATAAACCAGCCATAACATAGCTGACCAATGCATGCAACACCGTATATGGGAGACAAGATTTCTTCCTGGCTTCCCCACAGTTATCAGCTTATGTCCTGAAGTATGAAGTCTGATTACCTTTCTCCTTATCTGAGTTCACCTAGTGCTAGGCAAGTATAGAATAACCCTGCCCTTTGAATCTAGCCACTTTAACTCCCTTGGGTATCTTGAGGCAGCAGGTTCCATATATTAACTACAAGTGGCAGGAATAGATATTTTCTTTCATTTTTTTTTCTTCTTGTTAATCATCAGTGTAAGTGTCAGAACCCCTTCTATCTCAAAGGGGAATTGGTAGAAAGAATAATAACAATAATAATTAATAATTCCCAGCTGTTATACTGTGCTTTTCATGAGTAGATCTCAAAGTGCTTTGCAAAATAAATCAGTGTCATTAGCCCCATTTTACAGAAGGGGAAACAGAGGCACTGAGCAGCAAAGTGACTTGCCCAAGGTCACCCAACATGCCCACTCAACATTGCTGGGAAAAGAATCCAGAGGGCCCTAACCACTACGCCGCACTGCTGGGTTAGTTTTTTAATAGATCCTCCATGATCTCACACAGCTTGAGAAAAATCCCCACTAACTCTTCTCCTTTCCAGAGGAAGGGCTAGATTGTGACTTTAGGCAGAGCCCGAGCAGAGATCATCAGCTGCACTGCCCCATATGTAGCCCTGAGGGGCACAGACACCCTGCTGAGTCACAACAGCTTTGCTTCCTCCATGCTCTGGCGGAGAGGGAGTAATTTGCTCCTGGCCTGTACTAGCAGTGAACTGCTACACCTTGGTGTTGGCCAACGAGTAATGGGGCTGGAGCCTGCCACTCCAGAGAAGGCCTGTTAACTCAAGGTTTGACCAGCCTGAACAGAAGGTTCTTACATAGGTGTTGACCCTAATCCAGCTGCAATCCACACACAAACCCCTCTGGCCTGAGTTTGGTGGTGCTTTACACCTGGGCTAGCTGGCTCATCTGGGATATAGGGTAAAACCCAAGTGCTGCTTACACTCAGGCAGATAACCCACATATTTTGCAGTGAGGACACAGGCTAAACCACTCCAGTGCTGATAGTCCTCCAACGCCTTCCCACAATTGTGCCCAGAAAAACAGACAAGTTCACCCATAAGTCGCTGGAAAAGAATCACAGAGCAGCTCAATTCACTGTAGCTCTGAAAGCCATGGCCTATGCCCCCAGAAGTCCTAGTGAGGCATGTGAGTGAGCGCAGCATCAGTAAGGACACACTGATGGGGATGTGGCTTTGTAGTGTGACTGCTCCTGCCAGGCTTGGCTCAGAACCGGATGCCTATCACCCAAATGAACTCGACAGCCAAGAGGTGTTCTTGTTCTCTTGTATGACCAAATCACAAGGTAGCCCTAAGTAACTCCAATCAACTAATCAAACGTTAGACACATTCTTTGCTCATGTTTTTATAGCTGGTCAAAATACATAGAATTTTTCTTTTAATTCTGAATTTTCAAAAAAATATGGCCGTAAAAGAGCGAAAATGTGGAGTGGATTTTTTTTGGTTGGAAATACATTTGTGTTGGAAAATTCAGGTTTTTTTCTACCAGTTCTAGCTCTGTGTTCTTTTTAGCTTCCATTGATAAAGCTTGGTGGTGACACTGAAAGACTCAACTACTTCATCAGCAGAGGCATTCTAAATACTTTGAACTCAATCAAACACGTGGCAAAACAAAAGAACCAGACCAGTCTATTTTCAGAGGTAATGTTTACCTTCAAAATGCAGCAATAAAAATTAAAAAAAAAGGGGGAGGGGGCACAAAATATCTAATATCTTGAATTGAGAATGTACAAAACAAGTTCATAATAAAAAGAATTTCTTTACAAAGTTTCAAAGTGGATTTAAACATTAAACATAAGAATACATGGACAGTAAAATAAAATATTTTGTATATAATGAATAATAAATTACAGGTCAAAGAAAGAAAGGAAAGCAATAGCCATCTATTTCTTTAGTTGAACTTGATACAATCTTAACTAGAGCATCTTTCTTCATGTCCACCTTAGGGAGAATGACACTGACAAATATTCTGGAAATCCTGATTTATACCATTTTAGGTAGTACCGAATACTTGCTATGTACTGGTTTCTGCTAAGTATCTCTCCTCCCCACTTCTCCCCCGCCCCAATTTGAAGATGTTCTTTCTTTTAATAGCTAAGTGAAAACTACTCAACACACCCATGAGTGTGTGTGTGTGTGTGTGAGAGAGAGAGAGAGAGATGAGGTCTGCGCTGATATCAGAAAGAGATGGACAAGGTAGGATAAATGAGCCTGTTTCCAAAATACCCAGACAGGCTAGTTCTTTTGGCTGGCTCTAGTTGTCCTTTTTTCCTGCCTGTGTTCAGAGATGTCCTGGACACACCCACAAGCACTATTCAGAGGCGAAGAAACCATCTAAAACACCCATTTGTTTATTTTCTTGCTTATGCTGCTATCCAAGACTCAGATCTTCGGATGTGGGGTAACTCCAAGTCTGTCGGGTTAGTGAGGTGAAGGATGTTGTTTACCACAAGTGCTGGCCCTGAATTGTATTTGTATACCAAACTCTAGGAGAACATTCTAAAAGCATCACAAGGCTTGGCGGAGTTCCTGTATGTCACATGGTTAAATCGATGAATTCATTGTTTCTTCTTTACCTGGTTAGCATCCCCCACTATTCAAAGCCTTCTATTTCTTTGGCTTGGAGTTGCCAAAAGTGACAAAGACCACCCCTGTTTCCTGGAAGCTGCCGTTGGAGTGGAAGTCTTCACCAGGACTGTTTAGGTACCTCCGAAGGAGGGGCGAGGCGGTTATCTCATACCGGGGAGGAGAGACCACATTGCACGTGGAGGAGGTTTGGGTCTCTGATTGCTTGGTGACGGTGGTGGATGAAGTGATGATCTTGTTTCCGAACTCATCCACCTCCTCGTACTGCTCGGTCACAGTTCTGGTGGCTCCGTAAAGCTTGGATCCATCCGGACCCGTCTGCAGTTCTAATATGCTTTTCTGCCTCCTTGGATTCTGTGGGCTAGAAATGTTCAGGGGAGCTTTGTAGTCAGAAAAGCCTCCTTTGACTGCACCATGGCAGCTGCCTTTGGATGAGTTCGGTGCGCACCCCTCCTTGCCACTGTTGCCACTAAGCGGACACTCGGGGTTGCTGAGATAGTGTTGCCTAATTGAGTTTGATCCTATCTTCATCTGGATGGGCTCCTGTTCAATCTCCAAGGGAGCTGGATTGCATTCACCGGACCCCACTGATTTGCGAGTTAATGAGTTAAAGATGTTCTGAGTGAATGTGTCCCTTTTTCCTGGCATGTTGGGATAATCTTGTAAGGGGGCATCCCAGGGGGAATACGCCATCTTGGGTGATTCAGCAGGCTTTCTGGCTGCAGACTCAATGGAGATATAAGAAGGAGACGATGGAGAATTTACTCGCTGCTCAATGATGCAGGGGACCTCTAACTCTCCTTTGGGCATCTCCGTCTTTTCGGACCCATTTGCACTTTCCACAGACGCTGCGTTCTGCATCCCTTGTGCTGCTTTCTCTTGCTTGGCTTTGCTGGAGACTATGCTGATCTTACGGATATTGTTGCTGGCTGTAGGGCTCTGGGCGTTCCCCAGAGACTCCTTGAAGAGCCCAGAGAGCCCAGCTATGTCTGATTCTGACTTTAGGTTAGAAACGGAATAGAGCGCTTTCCTAATGGCCTCCTCAATGTCCAGCAACCTAGCTAACGTCTGCTCCTTCAGGTGGATGATCTCAGCACTTGCCCTCTCCAGGTCTTCAAAAGCCAGCTCCACAGAGGAGACGCTGTCAGAGTCTTCCTTCGTCGTTTGCTCGGCCTTCTCAGCCTTGTGCTGCTGCGTCACTTGGTGAGCCTTCTGATGCACCACCCATTCTGGGACATTCTCAAAGAAGCTCTTCAGGGCTTTCACATCCACCTTAAATGTCTCCTCCTCAAACTCCTTCACTCGGGTCAGGATCTCTTGCAGCTCCTCCTGCCTTCGCAGATTCTCAAAGATCTCCATAGCCTCCTTGACGCTGCCCTTCATGATCTCCTCCTTGTGGAAAGACAGCCTCTTGAGACGTTCATCCTCCGTTTCTCTGCAGGGCTTTTCTCGCATGACCACCACTGGCTTCTGTGCAAACTGCTCCCTCTTCGCTTCAAGACTGCCCCCTTGTCTACTGTTCACCTGCTGCTGCTCCTTAAAGAGGTCCCTGGAAAGCTGATGGGAAGATGCTGAAGGCTCTTCTTGTCTTCTCTGATTTGTTTTCTGGGTGGTGCTCTGATTATCCCATGACCCATCGGTACTAGACATGCTTGCACTTTCTGTCTTAGGTGAGGCATTTAGTGCTGTGGCAGATCCTTTTCTCAGAAGGGTAGCTTGACTCTTAGGAGAGGTACTTGGCTTATTCTCACTCTCGGGGTTAGTAAGACCTATCTGATACCCATCCAGCCATTCTTGTTTTGATGTTAATGTGCAGCTGTTCTCTTGGCCAGATGAAAGTCTGTGTCCCGGAATTTCCTCAGCTGGACAGCAGTTCCTTGGAGCTGTTGCCTTCTCTTTGGTCATCACCTGTTCTGTTTCAGAGACAGCCACTCGATTTTTAAGTGGCTTTGACGTCTTAGAGTCTACTGACTCTTGCTTGCCCTGTTCTTCCTTGGTTGCCTTGTACCTTTCCTCTGCTATCTGAAGAGGTGTTTTGATGATGTCTTTTGGTGCTTTCTTCTCAGAGTTCTGGTTCTTTACTGTAACAGCATTGGCCACTGGTGATTGAGGGGTACAACACTTTGACTGACAGTCCCCACATCCCATTTGTGCTAAGGCATCAGAGCAACACGAGTCCTTTGCCTGATTCATGGGTGGGGTTTTTGCTCTGCTTAGCTCGCTCAGGCCTGAAGGTTTAGGAGGCAGTGGGGGTGGGACTAGCTTTGTCAACCTCCCTTTACTGTTGCTAGCAGGGCGTGAAGGTTTCTCCTGCAGGAAGCGCTCAGGTTTTGGAGGTGGAATGGGTTTCCTCCTTGGTGGTGCAGTAATTTCTGGTTTGGGGAGAATCGCTGGTTTCTCTGAAGGCCTCTGATCATTGGCTTTGGTGGAGGCGAGAGTGAGGGTCTTAGGGATAGCGTTGTGCATCGGTGCAGAACATCCCAGGGCTTCATCTTTTTTGCTTGGTTGGGAAGGGGCAGCTTCTCTTGCTTGTGTCATGGGTGGACAACACTTAGTTTTCATCACAGCAACTGGGGGAGGAGGAGGAAAGTCATTATCAGACTGGGACCCTGAAGTCACTACAGCTGTCTGGTTACTAATTGATTGAGTCTCGTTTTCCTTTTTACATATGGAATATGACTGCCCTGCATTTCTGTATATCATAGCGGCTTTAAAATCCCCTTTGGAGACATTAACATTAGACTTCTCCAGCGACTGAAGAGTGGCCTTTAAGTTACCTCGAACAACATCCTCCTTCTCTACTTGTCTCTGTTCTGTTGCAGCACTTTGCAGTGCTCTGATAGCTGTCTTTACATCCCCTCTGAGCATAACATCTTGCTCTCTTTCTTCTTGCACTGATTGCTCTTTGTAATCAGACTCAATAAAAGGGTTTACATAGGGTTTCACTGGCTTGGCAGTAAACAGACCATCCTTAACGCTAACATCTGCACTAGGCACACCTTGGCTTTCCTGGCACAAATGCTGTCCTCCCTGTACTTCCTCGGAAGTACTGACCTTTTTGTGTGACGTCATGCTCTTCTGAGACGCACTTGCGTGGGACTTGGATGACTCCTGGTCTCTGATGGTGGCGCTGGCTTGATGCTGCTTGGGGGGTGCACATTCCTGTTGGCAAACAGTTGATTGCATGGTCACTGTCCCCGAAATGCTGGGTGCCTGCTGCTTAGAGGCGAGATGGATTTGCTCCGTGCTCTTGTGGAGCTTGCTCTGGACTTGGTGCTGAATGCTTTTTGCCTCAGCTGTGGCCAGCCTTAGACTCTGCATTGCGGCTTGAAGATCACTTCCGAGGGCCGCCTCCTCCATGTTTTTTGTCATCTGGCTGGTTTCCCCTGCCACTGAACGCTGGCTTCTGGCCATGTCATCTTTCTGAGCCACCACTTTAGTGGAGGCTGCTCCCTGTGGTGCAATCTTCACTTCCTTCACATCTCTAGAGACTCTCTCCTCTCTCTCTGCCTTCTTGTTGACATTCTTAGCCTTTTTCAGTGATTGTGTGGTTGCCTGAATATCCCCACACACAATATCTTCCTTTCCCACCCCTGTGGGCTGGCTCAGGTTTTGCCCAAGACACTGCACAGTGGAGTCTGTGTCACCTGCATGCACTGCCTTTCTTTCTAACATGTTCTCTTTGCTTACACCTTCACACATGAGCACTCTCTTAGTCCCCTTAATGCCCCCTTGCCCCACATCTTCAGTCATTTTATCTGCTGGCTCTTCCTGTTGCAAGGCATGCATATTAGCCCCTTGCACATCCTGCTGGATGAATTCTGCTGGCTCCTGGTCTGCTTGAGAGGAGATGAGGGACTCTATCTCAGACTCCCGCTGAAGGTTCTTTAGGTAGTCCAGGTCTCCCTTCTCAATGCAGCTGGTGTACAGCTGGACATTCCCCTTCTCGTTGTCCTCCCGTCTGATGGTTGCCATCATCCTCTGCTCTTGCGAGGAAGCCAGCAGGTTCCCTATGGTTGACTTCACATCTCCCTTGACAACTTCCTGCTGGACGGAGTGGTGCAGGAGGGAGTAGATAGTCATTTTCACCGACCCCACCTCTGTCTCTTGCATGACCATTCCCTTTTTGATGGAGGCATCTTGGCTAAGGAGACTTTGGAGAGCCTTAGCAACGTCATCCCTCAACTCCTCTTTGCTTTTATCGGCTTCGCTTGGGTCCAGTAGCTGCAGTGGGCTGACTTTGATTTTGCCCTCCTCGTCCTCCTCCACCAGCATCCCCTGGGCCTCCACATTGGTCCTGTGCAGTAGTTGCAGCATGATCCTTTGCAAATTGCCTCCCACAATCTCTTCCTTTTGGATCTCTGGAGTAGTTTGCCTTCTGAACTGGTACTTCACCATCCTCACGCTCCCTACGTCATTGGCTTCTATGAGGATCCCGTCATGCTGGATGGCCTGGCAGGCGCAGAGGCCTTCCAAAGTCTCCCTCACTGTCCTCTCTTTCACCTCAGTTTCGGTTCTGTGTTTAGAAGAGCTGAGTTTATCCAGAGGGGTGGTTTCAAACAGCCATGTTGTGCTCTTCACATCAGCATGAGGGACCACCTCCGGGGCATTGGTGCTGGCAGACCCCTCGGGGTCTTTGAGACTATCCATGGGCTGAGTTTCAAACAGCCATGTGCAGCGCTTCACATCCCCTTTCTGGCTGTCTTCTCTCTGCACAGTGGTCATGCTGGAGCTCGCTTCAGACTCTCCCTTCAGGGAATCGATGGGCTGGTTCTCAAAAAGCCAGGTGGACGTCCTCACATTGCCCTGCTGGACATCGCTGACGCTGACCATCCTCACGTATTTCTTCTGGCTCACCGGCTGAGACTCGAAAAGCTGCTTGTTGGTCTGGACATCCCCTTTCTGTACATCATCCACTGTCCTGGCCACAGACCTCTTCCCCCCAGAGAAGGAATCGAGAGGCTCCGTCTCAAACCTCCATCGGGCAGACTGGACATCCCCTTTCTTGATGTCCTCTTGGGTGACAGCCCTGATCACGAACACCTCCTCCTCCTTCTTGATCTGATCCAGAGGTTTGGTTTCGAAGAGCCACCGGGCACCTTTCAAGTCACCTTTCATTATTTCTTCCTTCTTCAGTGAGGTGACCTCATGGTATTCCCCCTCCTTGTCCTGGATGGCATATAGGGGCTGGCTCTCAAAGAGCATGGTGCAGGACTTGATGCTGGCTTTGCTCATTGTCTCCTCCTGGATCCTCTTGATCTCCGTCTCATCCACCTTGTCATGAATCTGGTCTAGGGAGTAGGTCTCAAAAATGAACCTCTTGCCTCCGATGTCCCCCCCCTCGATATCCTTCTCTGGGGGGATTTCTTGTATGCCCTCAGTGTTGTTCTTTAAAGTATCCATGGGGAAGTTCTCAAAGAGCCAGGTGAACTTGTGCACTGATCCAGCTTCAATGTTCCCATCTGCAGGGACACCATTCTCTTTTGTGGCTGCAGCCAATTTACCCAGTACATCCAAGGGTTTGGTTTCAAAGAACTCCTTCACCCGAGACACTTCACCGGACTGTATCTCCACGTGGCTGGAGTACCTGACCATTTTCTTTGAGTCAGTCTCGCTGGAGGCATTGGTAACCAGTGGTTCAGTCTCAAACAGATGTCTGACAGTTTTGACGTTGACTCCTTGTAAGTCATCTTGGCAGTATGCTTTGCCAACCTGCAAATACTGCTCCTCCTGGCCTTTCAGGGAGTCCAGGGGCTGGGTCTCAAACATCCATGTGTATGACTTAACGTCAGCCTGTGGTACAGAACTTTCCCCTTCCTGCTTTTTCTCCACCTTCTCATACAGGGTGTCAATTGGCTGTGTCTCAAACAGCCACCTGCAGGTCTTCACATCACCCTGCTGGGTAACCTCTCTCTTCACCGAGGAGTGCTCTTCTCCTTGGTTGGCTTGGTGATGGATGACATCAATGGGCTGGGTTTCAAAGAGCCATTTTGCTGTTCTGACATCACCAGCTATCACTTCCTGCTTTGTGATCCCTCTGATTATATCCACCTTCTTGGTGCTGTCATCAAACTGGTCCAAAGGTTTGGTTTCAAACATCCATTTGTAGTTCTTGACATCGCCGCTCATGACCTGCTCTCTGCTTACAGAGGTGACCTTGTGGAAGTTTCCGAAGCTGTCTTTGATGGCATACAAAGGTATTGTCTCAAACAGGACCTGGTTGGCTTTGACGTTCCCAGCTGGTATCTCCTCTTCTTGTTTGGTGATGGGCTCAGCATCAGACTGCTTAATGCTGTCTAATGGGAGAGTCTCAAACAGGTTTTTGAAAGATTTAACATCCCCCTTCATCACCTCTTGTACATTAGAGGCTGAGAGGGGGTCTTCAGAGGATGCCTTTGAGATGCTGCTGAGGGGACAGGTCTCAAAGACGTGCTTTCTTTGTTTCACATCCCCCCTCTCCTCTTCCAAAATCCCCACTCTCTTTAAATGACCCACTTCAAAATTATCTTTTAGGGTTTCCATTGGTTGGGTTTCAAACAGCCAGAGTGTAGATTTCACGTCACCGCCGATGACTTCTTCCTTGGCTGGGCTGCTGTCTGAGACTTCTCCTTTCAGAGAGTCAAGAGGCTGGGTCTCAAAAAGTAGACGCTGCTTACTGACATCTGCCCCGTCAACGAAATCCATGGAAGCCCTAAAATCCTTTTCTTCCACTGTCAATTCTTTGATCGCATCAAGTGGCTGAGTTTCAAACATCCACCTTGCTCCACTGACATTCCCCCTTCCTGCCTCTTCTAATGAAATCCCCCGGATAATTTTCACTTTGGACGTGTCCTTGTTGATGGTATCCAGTGGCTGAGTCTCAAACAACCAGCGAGCGGTCCTGACAGCATTGCTCTGTATTTCTTCTCTGCAGACGGATTTGATCTCGTGGATGTTGCCAGTTTTGTCTCTGATGGCACAGAGTGGCTCTGTCTGGAACAGCTTGATGGTTTTCTTGACATTGCCCTTTAGCTCCTGGATTTCTGATTTGAGCTGCAGGATACTTTGCTCCTCCACTGAGCTGTAGTGGCCCAGCGCTTCCAGGGAGTAGGTTTCAAAGAGTTGCTTGGCACCTTTCACGTCCCCTTTTTGAACAGGCTCCTTGAGAACTGCCTCCTGCACGTCTGTTTCATCTGAGTACATTTTGTTTAATGAGTCCAGCGGCTGGGTTTCGAACAGCCACCGGGCTGTATGCACGTCCCCTTTGGTGTGGACTGTCGTGGGCACTTTGGTCAACGCAGACAGCCTGTCTCCGTTTAACGACTGGCTTTCAAACCTCCTGGAGGTGCTTTTCACATCCCCGCTTGGGATGGGTTCCTCCTCCACCAACGTCTTGGTCGGTTGATGCTCCCCAATAGAGTCTAGCGTCCAGTTTTCAAAGATCCAGCGCATGGACTGAACCTCCCCTGGGAGCACGGCGTCCAGATTCACTGAGGCCTGGGCACTGGGATCTTCCGTGCTGAGCATTTCCGCCAGGTCCTCAGTCACAGCTTCCTCCAGGTTCTTCCTCAGCTCAGGGTGCATGTGCCTATAGAGCCTCTTCAGCTCATTCACCTGGCGCTGCTGGTAGAACTTTGAGAAGGATCCCTTAGGGGGCGGCCGTGGGTTTGAATCCTGGCTCCCAACCAGGGAAGTAGAGGCCTGGAAGGAGTCTTGCAGGGGAGGGGGAGGTGGAGGTAAGTCCTCTTCCATTTTCTTGCCATTCACTTTAGATGACGTCTGGTTCTGAAGCTCTGCCATCTTTGGGGAAACAGTTTGAAACATCAGCATTATCTTTCCCCACTAGCCCGGTTAGTAGTGAGTACAGCAAACAAGTGAGGAAAACCCATGCACCTAGCGAATATGAATTCCATACCTTGGATTCAGTGGCACACAGCACCCAAAAGCATCACGCCACAGCAAACTCTCTCCAGGCTTGGGGTTAGGGTGTTAAATCTGTGTCCACAGCCAGGCAGTTTAAATCAAGGTCTCTAATCCACACATTTCTAGCAGTTATAGTCTGGAATCTCCACGTCTAAAGTCAGCTAGAGAGCAACAAAGAGACCTGATCTGGATAGTGTTAGCAAGAGAGGATGAGCATCAGAATAATATTAATGGGGGCACATCTGAATAGCAGGGAGCTAATGCCCTGCTTAGATCTCTCCCAGGTGTGCGGTACTGCAGTGGGTCTGGGGAATGAAGACCCAGTTAGGGATTCAGAAGGAAGCCGGTGGACCTACCGCCTCCTGGTAATCAGATGGGAGAAGACCCAGTGAGGAGGCAGAACTCAGTGGCTAGGATGATGAGTGAAGACCATCTGTATATTTGGGTGGCTGGAACGCTGCATGAAGTAGTCAGAATGATGCGTCTTAATCAGAGCTAGCCTTTCTCTATCTATGCCAAAGCCTTTTCTTACAACCTGTGCAAACCTACAGCTCCAGAACGAAGAAAAACTTCACTGCATTAATGATTTCCTCTGCTGTGGCTCTACCAGGTGTCCCATAGCTCCAGGTGAAACAACGATAGTTAATATGCTTGGAAAACGTAATGCAGATCAGAGACCTAAGATGAGTGACGTTTAACTTGGAATGACATAGGTATTGGGCCAAGATGAGAGTTGGTGTAAGTGAGAGCCCCTCATGCCCACTTGTGATCTGTAAGGGAGAGTAACTTACACAGCATGGAGCCAGAAGAAAATGTACAAAGGTGTACAATAAAGTAGTGTGTGGTCCCCTTTAACTTCCACTGCCTTAAACCCTTCTCCTCGTTGCATTTCCTTATGAGTCCTCACCTCTCTTCTGGCTCCTTAGCATGAGAATTAAACCAGTTAAGATGCAATTAGACTTGGTGGGCCAAATTCAGAGGTGATACATAAGGAGGGGAAAGGAAATCTAAGCAGGTGTAACATACACACTTTGAGGGGCCAGGAGAAGGTGTAAGTTACACCACTAGATTCCCTCCAGACCTATTGGGCCAAATTCTGCTCTCGGTTACATGGAAACATTGATATTGAAGTGAATGGGAGTTGCATCTCTGTGACATTAGAATTTTGTCTGCTTATACACTGACTTTGCTCCCTAGTATTTTAGCTTGTGAAGTTTGATTGTGGTATGGCATAATGCTATGTTGAATGCACAGCATCTATTCTATAGGAGATTTACTATATCTACTATAATCTATAGGAGATTTTACCAATGGGAGGTAGCTGATGCTAATAATCATTACCTAGGAGAGACCCTAATTCTAGCAGTCCATCTTTCAACACAAGCAGAAACCTTTGCATGCCATTAAACTTTGTGTATTTTTTCACTCAAGATCGGATATGTGCAATGTTATGTCACTCGGTTAAACACACAAATACTTCCATTTTAAAAAAATGCATTTAACCTTAGTAACAAAAGACCAAAATGAGTATATTTCATGGCAAGTTGCAAAACACTGCAGCTTCATATGAGCTGATATATTTCTAAATTCCTGGACCTTTTTTATGTAAGGTGTTTTTGAACCCCATAAACAAGTTCTAAATACGGCTGGGTAGTTGAGATGTCAGACCTCCATATTCTGCATGAGAGCGCTCCTCATTGTCAAGCACAGCTAGTTAAATCACACTAGACACCAGTCCACAAAGACTTGGTTAGACAACCACACGTATTCTTAGCATTTCCTACCTTGCTTGCTTTCTGGCTGTCAAGACGATGAGCAGTGCTCTCCTTTGTGGTATTCTGAAAGAGAAATAAAACATAATTATATAGAACTGCACACATTCACATGTGCTCTGTGTGCGTGTGTGTCTGTGTAACTTACTAGTTCTTACATTAGACCTTTTTATTATTTCAGAATTATGTTTTCCAACACAAAACCCAGAAGAAGGCGTTATAATTGAAAACCAAGAATGCCCTAGTGGACCGGTAAGTGCATTGTGGACAGGTTGATTCACAGGAGAGGCATGGAGTGTTACATACATAAGTACAAAGGACGGGGAGCATATGGGAATCGGAACCTGCATGGATGAGAGCATTGTGGTGGGGCTACAATGATACTGTCCTCTGATTTAGGAGCAGGAGTGAGCCCTAAGCGTGGACCAGATAGCTAAGCTACTTGAGAGAGCTCATATTTAAACCATTGTTCTCAGCTGTATCCATTCTTTACCTGCCCCTTTTTGGTACCCCGCCCATTTGTGAATAAGGGAATCGGACGTGAATAGAGCTTCAGACTTCATGCCGCTCAGTACGGACGATTGCCCTAGGGCTTAACACGGCTGTGGATACATCCCCATCTGAGCTGGGAGCTGGGATTCCCAGCTTTGGTAGATGTACCGTCGTAGCAGAGCTGTGGTAGCAGAGACAGCAGCTTGGGCTAGCCGCCCCTGAGGTTCCAGGGGGCCTGGGTGGGTTTGGATTCAGGTGGCGAGTTCGAGAAGCCGCCCGTGCCATCCCAGCTACATTGCTACTTTAGGTGCTAGCTTGAGCAGAGCCAGCAGAGGATTAGCTGCATGAGCCAGGCGTGTCACCTCCCAGCTCGGATGTAGACGAAGCCTGACTGGATAACTTCCCCTCGCGCTGGGTTAGAGTGCACCAACTTTGTGCGTGCTGCTGCCCTGCCGGCACAGGATGACTTGACGTGGTTTTATATAGGTGCTTCATGGAAAGAAGATCCAAGTAAATGTCATAGAAAATCTTTCCCTTCCAGTCTGAAATTGATTTATCCATTAGGATTTAGCTAGGGCCTGATCCTGAAAGGTGCCGAGCATCCACAACATCCCTTGAGGTCAACGGGAACTGCGGGTGCTCAGCCTCAGTTAGGATCAGACCCTAGGGTCTGGCACCTTTTGAAGCCCCAATGCATATTACAAATTACTATGTGTATCCTACAGGGCCTGATCCTGCCCTTTTGAAGTCTATTGGACTTTTGCTATTTACTGCAGTGCAAGTGGGATCGGACCAGCAAGGCTGAGGATGACTTTATTTGTTGCTGAAATGTAGTCACCTCGGGGTGTAATACAGGAGCAATTTAACAGCACGCAGCAACACTGCTCAAGAATGTAGGGATGGGAGTGAACAAAATCACAGGCCGCTGAAGCTGCAAGAATACTGTAGATGCTTAACATAGGCACTGTACTTGAAGATGGTTATTAAATATACAGGATATAGAATTGTGTGTGTGTGTGTGTATACACACACACACATATATGAGTGTCTGCGTGTATATAATGTATATACAATATATGTGTGTGTACATGCATGTATAATATAACACACAACCCTTCTACCAGGGGCTTATGTATATATATATCTATGGTAAATTAATATGTTTTACAGCTCCTTGGCAAGAGAAAGATGGTGATTTTTGGAGGATTAATTCCATATTCTTCCAAATCTATATAAAACAAACATATTCTTTCCCCTCGTTATGGCCAGTTGCTGGGAACAGACATTGCTGAGATGCTTTTGGTAACTCATACGAGGGCCAGGAATGAAAAGCATGAGATACTTACAGACTTTGGGAGGCTGACTGCGTGAGCAGCTGTCTCAGACAGATAGAGAGCTGACCGCTCCTTCACGGAGGGAGAGGAGGGTTTCCCGTGTCCTTGGTGCAGTATGCGTCTAGTGTTGTCTAAAACTGACTGTGTCCTCTCAACTGAAACAGGGACAAAGGTGTATGTTAGATATACGCCAGAGTGCCGAGGCAACAAAGAGGGCTGGCCTTATGCACAAGCGAGACAAGTGACTGCATGGGGTCCTGACAGGAGCCTCAGCAACTCCCCACCCAATCGCTTCAGCAACTCCTGTCCTAATTGCTCAGGTCTCGAGTGGCGGGGGGAACTGAGTGGTCAGTCACTGAGGCTAGGGGACCCTGCTCCAAGGACAAGTCGTTGATCTGTTTGCATGTTCTGGGACTGGATAGGGAAGCAGCCCAGGGTGAAATGTGTGGCAGATGGGGAGCCCTGCTGATCACAAGGTTCCTTCTTAACTGTGATTCCTCTGGGTTATGAAAGAGACATTGAAACTTTCCAAACTCTCAAGGGGACAGAAATTAACTTGAGATGTGGGTTGGGGAGAACTAAGAGATCAGACAGAAACTAGGGGACGCTGGAACCGCCATACTGGACTGGAGCATTGGGCCATCTAGTCCCAGGTCCTGTCTGTTCCATACCATGTGCTGGAAGAAAAGACCACATCCTGGCTGCCACCTCTGAGCAGCAAAAGACATATTTTCAAACAGTCTCCTCATTCTGTTGTCTTATCAGCAAAGCTGCATTTCTGTAAGGCTCGGACTCAGACCTCATAGAGCTAAGGCAATGCCACCTTGATGTTGGAATGCAACTGCCAGAAATGAGAGGGTGGGGGGAAATGAAACTCTTATTTACTTGAAACTTTAATCAACACCCCCTTCTTATGGCCCCATCACTATGCTACCTGTGCCCCTCACAAGTAGTTAGCTTCACAACTCCCCTGTGAGGTAGGGAAATATTATAATCCCCATTTTACAGATGGGGAATTGAGGCACAGAGTGGTTAATTGATTTTCCCAAGGTCATGTGGGAAGTCAGTGGCACAGCTGGGAATTGAATTTGGATCATGGCCTAATGCCCTAACCACAAGACCATCCTTCCTCCCTTATGATATATATCTGCTCTTCTCCTTGAGCTGCCAGGACCCACCCCAAGCATTTGCTAACATAATTCCAACATTGCCTTATGGAGAAGGCCACAGTCTGTTGCTTGCCCGCTTGTCCGCTTTGCTTTTCCAGCTAGTTCTCCCCTGCTCACTGTTACCCAACCAGTGCATGTGTTTGTAGCTAAGGGCCTGATCCTGAAGTCATTGAGAGCTTTGCCACTGACTGAGATGAGATCAGGGTGAGACCCTAATAGACAGATGGATATTGAAATGAATACACCTATTGTGGCCGATTGGACCGTGACAAAAGAGATCCAGCACTCCCTAGTCCAGCCAATGTATTTCTATTTTGCTTTGTCATGAGTAAGGAAGGCAGATATCCCAAATGCGCGCCAAAATATCCCAAATGCCACAGCCCATCGCTTGTATATGTACAGCTATGTCCACATATGAATGCATATGGATATGTGTTTTCTCTCCTTGCTAGTCAAGATTTTATTTCCTCTCTCAGTACAAGAGAGGACCACAGCACCTTGCTGGATGCTGCACGCCTCTTAAAAAAAACCCAGTGTTTGTGGCACTGGAATTTACTGCAGTATTTACAGTGTTTTCTACTTGAACTACTGTATAGGAAACACCACAATAAATCCAACTCCTGCAGTGCAGTAAAGGTTGCTTTGGTTTTTACAGGGTGACCACTGTACGCATATTGACGGTGCTGAATAAGTAATAATAATAATCCTTTTGGTTCATTATGCAGCATTGCCAGCCCCACGCATTGAGTCAGGTCCCCAAGAACCACACCATTGGTTTAAAATAACGACACATTGAAAATAATAAATTGGAGGGTCATTTTTTTTTGCCTTCTTGATTTTGATCCTCAGATTTCACATTGTCAAGCTTTTCTCTGCTCGCATCAGTGTGAGAAATGCACTTTTCAAAACCAATGGAACGCTGAGAATCTCACACAATAATATGACCCCAAGGGATTGGGCTTTAGGTAATACATCAGGTAGCATGAGACTCACAATAAAATCGTGAGACCTGGTGACAATGATACACACACACACGAATGGTGTGTCTCACCCTGCGATTATTGGTGACCCTTCTTGGCAGTCCATTGGAAGGTGGTAGGTCACATGGTGCCGGGTGTTCCTCCTTGCTTCCAGTTGCTTCTACAAATGCCCAGGCCTTTCAATGCAGAAAGGAGGTTGGGTACCTGGGAAGCAGCTGGAAACAATGAGGAATGAGCCTAGTTGGATCTGCTGGGGTCACTGGCGCATAAGAGGAGGAGAGGAAATAGATACCACCAGCAGAACATTCCAAATACGGGGATCTATCTAATTATTGCTTTTCTATGCAATACCACATCCGTATTTGAGAATGGGAAGGGGAGGATCAACAAATTGGAGAGGGTTCAGAGAAGATCCAGAAGAATATTTAAAGGATTAGAAAACGTGTCTTACAGTGATAGACTCAAGGAGCTCAATCTCCATTTAGCGCAACAAAGGGAAGGCACCACAGAGGAGCCCACAGCCTGGCAGCGGGGCTCACAGGCAATGCAGTGTCTGCATAGACACTGCATCATCCTAATTACATTGACCTACGCACTACGCCTCTTGTGGAGGTGGAGTTATTAGGTTGGTGTAGTGGGGGACTTACGTAGGCAGGAGCAATGCTGTAGTGTGGACGCTTACAGAGTTAAGTCGATGTAAGCTGCCTTGCATTGACTTAACTCTGGAGTGTAGACCTGACCTAGGTATGCAAGCAGGGTTTAGGACTGGGGGTGGAGCTTAATTTTCATCACTCCCTCCAGCCCCTCCCCTTGCAAAGAAACACAGTCTATGTATGTGTAACACCAACATACTGTTTGTCGGTGGGTGGGATTGAACCTGGGACCTCTGAAGCTTAGTGCATGAGCCTCTACTGCATAAGCTAAAAGCCACGTGGCCCCTAGCTCAGGCTGTAGAGCAGACTCATTAATCTCTCTCTAAGTGGTCTTGGTGCCACTAGATGGAACAGAACACCACACCCAGGAGGTGAGTGAGTTACATATGTGTGAAATCTCTGAGTTGAAAATGATAAATTCAAACAGACTGATAAAAAGATAAAAATAGCGGGATTGATAATGCCGCCTGAAATTCAGATATACGGCCTATAGCTAGTGGGTCCAGGCACTTTAGAAATTAATATTATGGAGCTGCATAAATATTCTATATCCTGAAGCCATCCAGGGATGTGCTGTCTGCATTAGTTACCCTAGACATAGGTGCTGGAACTAAAGGTTCTGGGGGTGCAGCTACATTCCCTGGCTTGAAGTGGTCTCCATCATACGCAGCGTTTACAGTTTGGTTCAATGGCTTTCAGTATCCCCAGTACACAAATTGTTTCAGCAGACCTGCTCCTAGGTTTGTATTTTGGTGGTACTGCAGAGTACTGTTTGTTATGTGTATTCCCAGAGTGCCTATGAGCCACAGAAATGGACCAAGACAGCATTGTGCTAGGTGCTGTGTAAACACGGAACAAAGTGATAGTCCTTGTCCCAGAGAATTTATGGATATAACTTTTTTTTAAGCACCTAACTGAGATTTATAGTAGATTAAATCATATGCCTAGCAGAAATGAATGACTCCATTGCTAGCATGTGGCAAAATTCTTTTCTTGAGTGCCGCAAGCATTTGGATCCACTGAATGAAAGACCAAAGGGCTGCTCTTTGGATGATGGACACAGTTAGATATAAGACTTTCAGTCAAGTCTCTTCCTGTCATTTTCTTTCTTTTTCTTCTACGGTGCTTGGGATTTGCAAACCTGCTCTTTGCTTATCACCGTCCCGAAAATCACATGCCTTAGATATAGGGAGTTAAAAACAGCAGCATGAGCTGTGTGCTCTGAAAGCATGGAAAGTATGCAATGACCCACAGCTTTGCAGGACAGCATGGGCACAGCAGCCACTCACTAAATTGCTAATTATAGATAATGGCCCACACAGCTGAGGAACAACAATTCATCCTGGTAACCAGAAAGCCAGGCTATAAACTGTCTGCAATTATTAAACAGCATTTTATATGGGGTCTAATTATTTGACATTCAGACAGCAACTGGAATCCCAAAGCGCTTCACAAACTATAACGATAACTATATCGTCCTAGTGCAACGTGGCCACCTCTGGGGCAAACCCTTACTGATCACAAAAACTGCCATGGAATCTCTTGGGTCTGGTTAAAATGTTTGAGACCCTAGATCGCAACATCTCATCCGAAAGCTCTAGTAAACTGTACGGGACTCAATTTTCTACCTTCCCTCGATGAAGGGCCAGGCTGACGCCGCTAGAGTTTGTTTTATTTATTACAGCCATCCCAGTAGCACTGGGCAGATGCTGACATAAATAAAACAGACCCTGCTGTGGCCCCAGGGAGTCTAGGGATTTAAAAGCTGATACTCTGATCACGACAACCACCCTCACTGGCCGGCTGATTAAAATGTGCTTCCGTGACCGCTGCACCCTGCAGTCAGTCCTGATTAGGAAAACCTGCCGTTGATGATTTCACTGGGAATTTTGCTTGAGTAAAGATTGTAGGATCTAGCTCTGATTTGGTTCCCATTGTAGACCACATCAAAATGCCCATTGGCTCCAATGGAGCTGGAATGTCGTGGAGTATTTATAAATTGAATCTGGGAAGCAGCAATGGTTTCAGTACCCCGGCAAACACCTCTGGGTAGTCATCTAGTTCTGTTAGCCGTAACCTTCAGCTTGGGCCAGCTGGCGGGCTCAGCTCAACAGAGGCCTGGAGCAGCAATCGAGGCCCAGGAAAGCTGCAGGCATGAGCTGAGATGCAGCGGGTAGAAGTCTGCAGTGGCCCAGCAGTGGAATAGCAGGAGGTGCTGCAGGCCTGCTGAGTATCAGCGAAGTGTATCAGTGGTTAGCTTGCACAGTGCCTGTCTGAGCTACGCCCAGCGCCAGCTAGCAGCCATTAGTCTGTCACTTTTCCAATTATTTAATTCATCTTTACCTTAAAACAC